TCAACATCAGGAAAAGCTACAGGCTGTACAACTGAATGTGAAGTGGTGCGGGGTTATCCACCTGGTTCTAAGTCATTGTATCTAACAATGTTTGATACGGTTGGTGTATGTGAAAGTTCAGAGGGAACAATACCAACAAAAATCGCACTTGAAAAATTTGATAAATTATTAAAATCACTTTATGATGGTATTCATCTTCTGTTGTTCTGCATTCGAATTGGGCGTCTAACACAAACAACAAAGATCAATTATAAACTATTTGTTAATGAACTATGTGATAATAAAGTGCCTTGTATTTTACTTATAACACATTGCGAATCCGAAGATCAAATGGGCTTATGGTGGGATAAAAATAAAAATATAGTTAAAAAGCAATTGAAATATGATGTAAGAGATGGTATATCGGTAACTACAAAAAAAAGTGGTAAACACGCATGTCTAGAAGAGTATGAGCTATCAAGAATAAATCTGCTTAAGGCTATATCCGAGTATGCACTGCCAAAACCTTGGGATCCAAATACAATGATAAGAAACTTTTATGGGTTTTGCAAAAAAGTATGGTGTCATGCGAGTTCTCATGTATCGACACATGATCCATTCCAACAATATTTAGAAGAACCACGAACTGAAGAGGTTATAAAACGGCGGAATCCACCAGTACAACGGGCGCCGCCTATACGAACAACTAGTGAAACTGCGACATATATTGGCGCACAAGAAAACACATTTCAAAGACATTTTTGTAAGCCGAACATTGTTATTTTGGTTGATGCCTATACATGTTCGAAAGAGTGTTTTTTAGTTGGCTTGTTCGAGAATATAATAAATGAATTAAATACTGAGTATCCTGGTCTGCGCTCTTCTTCTAGTATCCAGAGTATGAATTCCGTCATGGAACTCTTTGATTTAAACAGCACTCAAGTCTTTGATTTAGATACCGGCAATGTAGGTGCTGTAACATATATCGGTATTTATTATAAAGAGATTCATAATAATGAAGAATGCACAGAAGCGATTCAAATGATGCGTAAATTCGTTGAAACCTTCACTGATCGTTTTGGTTCTGGTAAAAAATTGGTTATTACAACAAATCCTTATTCTTCTTCATCTGATCTATTGAAAGATTATAATGACTCGCTAGTGTCACCTAATGTAGATATCTTGCGACTAGATTTCGGAGCAACATCTTTCAATGGTCAACACAGCAACATGGACGAATCGAACGTGAACGAAATGTACACAGTCCTAAAGTCATATGTAATATCATTGCTAAAACCATAGTCTATTAACCGTCTATCGACACGTGCTTTGCATAATTTCCACTTCTTTTTTATATCTCTGTTGAATGTTTATTATAAAATAAAAAAATAGCGAAAGTCAACACTGGTACTATCTGAAAGAATCGGATCACTTGAAACATAGAGTGTTAATTACTCTACAAAGAGCTCAGTTCTTTCCAGATGTGGACGAGTCCGAGAGGGTACCGAGTCCGAGCCGCGTTCGAGTCTGAGTCCGTAACATTAAACACCATGCCCGAGTCCATTTCGAGTTTGGTAATCTTTTAATTCTTTTTTGATGAGTGTAGTTTATTTCTCTTTTTTAATTTACTGAGCCCCGGATAGATATTTGATTTTTCGAAAATAAGGTTACTTAGTCAGTCTCCCGAACAAAATTTTCAATTTCTTGTGAACCAGAAGGTGTTGTTATTTTGCTTTTCATTTTTCTCTGTTCATTTGTGTTAAAAGTTGGATAGATCCGACTCGAAATACAGAACCTCAAGTTCAAGTCCTTCAAAAAAATCTGCAGTCTGAGTCTACGCCAAAATCTTCCAGTCCGGACTCGCTCATGCCTGGTTCTTTCACGCAAAAAACTTAGAGCTGAGCGGTATTAAAAGTGTGAATAACGATGTTATCCACACATATTATCTGGGTGATAGTGTGATGCGAAAATGCCAGTTTGCATCATCTCATCCTCTCATCTCGCTTCATATTTCAATCCGTGAGAAGCAGATTACATTAATAATGGGTAGCTGATCGGTCGTTCCTATAAAATTTTCTCGAAACTTTCTAGAACTTCGAACAAAATCTTCCACGAAGAGCAGACTAGCAGCAATGAGATTGTGAGCGCGACAGGGTTCTGTTTTCGTCTGTGAGAGCATAATACACTGTCGACATCTTTCAGATAACCTATGTAACGGACTTACGCGCAGTGCTGCTGTGATTTACGTCAGGAAGTCAAAATGTAAACTGAGCTGTATAGTTGGCTTTTTGTTACTTTTACGATTACCATATTTTTATTCCGCAATAAAAAAACAACAAGTAAACTCTGTATATTACACAAAGTCAGTGCTATTATCAGCAACTGCTGCTGTGATTCTCTAAGTGGAAGGTTCTTGTAAAGCTTTGTACAACTGATTGGCTTCTTTCACAGCATCGTCCTTGGAACATCCAAGTACTTCAAACATTTCAACAAGACCACTTTGTAGGCCCACTTGAGATAAAAACTTGAGCCGTCGTGAGAGGCTATTCCAGACTTTCTTGAAAAATACAGCGACAGTTTTTAAATAAGAAACCATCTGCCACGGTTTCTCCAACGCGTGATCCATAATGGCTGTAATAAGTTTTTCTCTCGATAAATTATAATCTTCTATGCATGCATTTTTACCAGTCTTTTTCGTTGTTACTGAAATACCATCTTTAAAATCAAATTTTAACTGTGTAAGAATAGTATCTTTATTCTGATTCCAAAACGAATCAAGTTCATCATTTTCATCACAATGAGTTATAACTAAAATACACGGCACACAACTTTCACATATACCTTCAACAAATACTCTGTAATTAGATTTAAATGCTTGGCCTGATAGACGACCATTTCTTGCGCAACATATTAACAAATGTATACCGCCTTGAACAGCATATAATGTTTTAACCAATTGAATAAATGCTTCTTTTGTTGTTACTGCTCCTTCGTCGCTCTCTGATAAACCAGCTGTATCAAATATTCGCAAGTAAAGGGAAGGAAAATCAGTCAGGTTTCGTTCAACTTTTTCACTAGCCGTAGTACAACCGACCGCTGAATTACTTGATTCTACAACAGAGTCATCAAACACCATATTGATTGTTGCACTTTTGCCTAAACTAGGTCTATTTGCATATTATGTCGGCGCTCAAGACATTGGCAATGGCCAAATTAGCTACCAATCAGTACCCTCAATGATTGCACTTAGACACTTTAGTCTTTTTATACGTCATGATTTAACCATTTTGAAACTCGTACCTTATGCCCGCAAAAAGGCTTTTTCAACATCTAACGACGTTTTAAAGACAGCCAATAAAAATCCTGAGGAAAGGAAGTAATAGCACTGGACGTAAAAAGCTGAATATATGACTGACAGAACAACACCAGTCTACTGCATTAGCATTACAGTGAGCTAATGACGCTGCTGATATTCATGCAAAAGGAATAATTAAACAGAAATGTTTTTACTTGATGATGTCCGTATTGCACTCTTCTAATAAAATATTTCGAAACCAAAAAGCTTTTCTACAGAACTAATTAAAGATTAAAAAAATTTGATTCATATAAAACAGAACTGATAATTTTGTTAAATCATGTATTTTAAATATCGAAAACTCTATGTTGTTATCTTCCTCTTCTCCAACGAAAAACATGGGCAAAAAATCACGATCATTGTTCTGCTGCTTAAAAGAGCCGACATCCCCGCCATTATGCCGGCACCTGCTGGTTCCCCGATTGTGCTCATATATATCTCATTTGAAAGCCCTAGCAAAATGGAGACTGACCATCTATTTAGATTTTTTGAACACGTTTTTATCAAAAGTCAGTACGACATTTAC